CAGTGTCCTCCACCCCTCTCTGCCAATCCCTCCACTGGCCTCCCATTGCCCAATATATAAAATTCAAAACATTAACAATAACATATAAAAACCATTTATAACTCCGCCCCAAATTACATCACCAATCTTGTCTCCAAATATCACCCAAAACCGTCCTCTCCGCTCCTCCCACAACCTCCTGCTCTCTAGCTCCCTTGCTCGTCTCCAGAGCTTCCCCCATCCTCTGGAACTCTCTACCCCAATTTATCAGACTATCGCCTACTCTGCTCACTTTTAGGCGATCTCTGAAAAACCGATCTCTTCAGGGAAGCCTATCCTGCCTTCAGCTAATAATCTTCTGTTTCTCCTATCAGTCCATCCCCCACAGTTATTACCTTTTTGTACCACCAGCCCCTCCCTCTTGGCACTATAAAAATCCTGTATAATAATAATAATTTATACCGTTGACCTTTGTAGCGGTCTGTAAAATGACCACACGTGTAAGAGGCATCCTCCCTCTGACCATCACGCTAATGTCCTTGAGACCAGAAAGTTTTTTCCAGGGTTCCCTGGTGTTGGAAAGGCTGCTCTAGAGGTTTACTAGGATGCCAGTGACACGATCACCAGCCCTCTCAGCTAAACCCTTGTGAAAAAGGGAAGCAGAAAGTTCAGCTTACAGAAATATCTTGGGTGTCACTGGGACAGGAAACAAGGAGGATTCTCCTAGGACAGGGGTCTCCAAACTATGACCCTCCAGGTGTTGAGGAACTGCAAAAAAAATCCCAAATGAGGCTTTGCAAGACTGACAGCCACAGGCAAGACTCCCAGAGGCAGAGGCATGATGGGACTGTAGCACTTCAACAGCTGGAGGGCCATAGTTTGGAGACCCCTGTCCTAGGGGAACCAACTGTCTGTTTTAGATTATTTTCCAAAGAAATCTAGTGTTTGGTGTTTGACCGCTTACCTTTTAGTGCCGCCTACGATGAAAAACCAAAAATCTGATGACCCCCTAAAAAAGAGAAAAAAAATTCAAATACATTTAATTTTTTTCTTTGCAAAACCCATTATTATCATTATTATACAGCGCCAACAGTTCGCGCAACACTTTACAAAATGACCCTATATTCTACAAATGAAATAATGGCGTCTTTATATAGGGGATCTAATACCGTGAGCCTCCAAAAAAAGCCTCCATTATCATTTACCACGAATATCTATATTATTATATATTATATTATTATTGGTTAATCTGCCGGCATACATTATTCTCAGAGTAGGACCTGATTCGTTACAATACGCAGCATACATGAAGACTACTCACCGGAACTGAGCGGTAGGAGCCTAGGGGCCAAGGACCCCGGTGGGGCTTATATAAGACCAGTCCTTGTGCCTACTCAGCTGGTTCCTCATATGGAAGTGGGCTTGACTTTGCCTTAACTGAGCACTCGGACCCCAAAGTTGTCTGTTCATCACAAGTAAAAATAACCAACATATTTCATCACAGGACTCCAGCTGCATCTTCAGTCTTCCATTTCACAAAGGATTGGCTTACACCGAGCTAAGGAAGATATACATACATATATATACATAAATACATACAAATAAAAATACAAAAAAAAAATAAATACAAAAATATATAAAAAAATACATAAATAAATATATATACAAATATAAATAAAAAACATATAAAAAAATAAAAAAACAAACATAAAAAAATATACATAAAACATACATACATAAAAAAAATATATAAAATACATAAATATATATAATATATAAATAAATAAATATATATACATAATACATACATAAAAAAAAAAAAAAAAAATAACATAAATAAAACATAAATTAATATAATAATAAATAAATAAAAAAATATATATACATAAAACATAAATACATATATAATAATACAAAAATAATACAAACATACATATATAAAAAATAAACATAAATAAATAAAAAAAAAATAAAAACAAAAAATAATATACATAAAAAATAAATATATAATAACATAAATACATAACAAAAAAATATAATACAGTGGGGATCGAAAAGTTTGGGCACCCCAGCTAAAAATTTGTATTAAATGTGCATAAAGAAGCCAAGGAAAAATGGAAAAATCTCCAAAAGGCATCAAATTACAGATTAGACATTCTTATAATACGTCAAAAAAAGTTAGATTTTATTTCCATCATTTACACTTTCAAAATAACAGAAAACAAAAAAATGGCGTTCTGCAAAAGTTTGGGTCCCCCTGCAGAGTTAATATCTTGTACTGCCCCCTTTGGCAAGTATCACAGCTTGTAAACGCTTTTTGTAGCCAGCCAAGAGTCTTTCAATTCTTGTTTGAGGTATCTTTGCCCATTCTTCCTTACAAAAGTCTTCCAGTTCTTTGAGATTTCTGGGCTGTCTGTCACGCACGGCTCTTTTAAGGTCTATCCATAGTTTCAATGATGTTGAGGTCAGGAGATTGTGAAGGCCATGGCAAAACCTTCAGTTTACGCCTCTTGATGTAATCCCCCGTGGATTTCGAGGTGTGTTTAGGATCATTATCCATTTGTAGAAGCCATCCTCTCTTTAACTTCAGTTTTTTCACAGATGGCATCAAGTTACCATCCAAAATTTGCTGAAATTTTATTGAATCCATTTTTCCTTCTACTCGTGAGATGTTCCCTGTGCCACTGGCTGCAACACAACCCCAAAGCATGATTGATCCAACCCCATGCTTAACAGTTGGACAGAGGTTCTTTTCATTAAATTCTGTGCCCCTTCTTCTCCAAACGTACCTTAGCTCATTCGGCCAAAAAGTTCAATTTTAACCTCATCGGTCCACAGAACTTGTTTCCAAAATGCATCAGGCTTGTCTATATGTTCATTTGCAAAGTTCAAACAATGATTTTTGTGGTGAGAACATAGAAGAGGTTTTCTTCTGATGAAGCTCTTCCATGAAGACCATATTTGTACAAGTATCTCTTTATAGTGGAATAGTGTACCACAACTCCAGTGTCTGCCAGAATCTTTCTGGAGGGATTGTGCAGTCAAACGTGGGTTTTGAATTGTTTTTCTCACAATCCTGCGAGCTGTTCTGTCTGATATTTTTCTTGGTCTTCCAGATCTTGCTTTAACTTCCACTGTTCCTGATGACTGCCATTTCTTAATTACATTCCAAACAGAGGATATTGACATCTGAAAACGCTTTGCTATCTTCTTATAGCCTTCTCCAGCTTTGTGAGCGTCAACTATTTTCAGTTTCAGTTTTCTAGACAACTGCTTAGAAGAACCCATGGTGCTGATTGTTGGGGCAAGGTCAGATGAGTCTGGGCATTTAAAACCTTTGAGATTGACATCACCTGGTCTTCCCAGACGATGATTGAGAGAACAATCCATAACACTGGCAGGTCTCAGTCTTGCAAAGGGGGCAGTGCAGTGCATGCTATAAATTCTGCAGGGTGCCCAAAACTTTTGCAGACGCCATTTTTTTTGTTTTTTGTTATTTTGAAAGTGTAAATGATGGAAAAAAAATCTAACTTTTGTTGACATATTATAAGAATGTCTAATCTGTAATTTGATGCCTTTTGGAGATTTTTCCATCTTTCCTTGGCTTCTTTATGCACATTAATACAAATTTTTAGCTGGGGTGCCCAAACTTTCGATCCCCACTGTACATACATATATATACCTATCTATTATCTATCTATCTATCTCAATGAGGCTAGAGGTGGGATGATGGCTGATATGAAAAATAGTAGGAGAAAATAATTGATTATTTTTTTGTATCATAAAAGCAGCTCTGGTTTGGCGGTTGCCAGGAGAACGGTTCTTTCCTGACCGCATTGTGCCAAGTATAAAGTTTGGTGGAGGGTGGATTATGGTGTGGGGTTGTGTTTCAGGGGCTGGGCTTGGCCCCCTAGTTCCAGTGAAGGAATACTTAAGGTGACATTTTGGACAATTTCATGCTCCCAACTTTGTGGGCCCTTCCTGTTGCAACATGACTGCCCACCAGGGGACAAAGCAAGGTCCATAAAGACATGGAGGAGCCAGTTTGGGGTGGAGGAACTTGACTGGCCTGCACAGAGTCCTGACCTCAACCCCATAGAACACTATCTTTGGGATGAATTAGAGCGGAGACTGTGAGCCAGGCCTCCTCCCCCGACATCAGTGCCTGACCTGACAAATGTGCTTCTGGAAGAATGGTCCAACCTTCCCATAGACACCCTCCTAAACCTTGTGGACGGCCTTCCCAGAAGAGTTGAAGCTGTTATAGCTACAAAGGGCGGGGCCAACTCAATATTGAACCCTACGGACTAAGACTGGGGGGCCATTAAAGGTCATGTGTGTGGAAAGGGCGGGGCCAACCCAATATTGAACCCTACAGACTAAGACTGGGGGGCCATTAATGGTCATGTGTGTGGAAAGGGTGGGGCCAACTCAATATTGAACCCTACGGACTAAGACTGGGGGGCCATTAAAGTCCATGTGTGTGGAAAGGGCGGGGCCAACTCAATATTGAACGCTACGGACTAAGACTGGGGGGCCAATAAAGTCCATGTGTGTGGAAAGGCAGGCGGCCCTATACTTTTGGCAATATAGTGGGGGTGGTCACATTTCTTCCTGGTGGGAGCCCCCTCTCCCTCAAATCCAGGTTTTATGGATGGATTGGGTACACTTCTCACTGTTTTATCAATATGCTCAAAAAGAAACAAAAAAAAAATCCCTAGAGTGTTTCTCTATATATACTGTATGTGTCTTTAACCACTTGAGCTCTGGAAGGTTTCACCCCTTCCATGACACGCCATTTTTTGCCCAGAACCAGGAGGAAGATGCCGACGCACAGGTATGCGACTGCGCCTGTACACACTGGCGTGCTCGCAGTAAAATCACAGCGGCAAGTGGTTGATAATAAAAGATTTTTGGCACTGACATTGATTAGTACGATTTGATTGATGGTGCTTAGCCTACGATGGATGCATTTTATGGCTTCCAGTCCACATGGACAGCTGTACAAATCTCTATGGTCA